TATTAGATATGGAATGGTGGCATCAATGGAGTTAAAAAATGCCACCAAAGCAATCCATCGAGACTATTACATTAAGTGGAAAACAGCGCTAAAAGGGAAACCAGTGCAAGATTGATTCAAGTTTAGAAAAATTGATAAGAAATGTGGCAGCCAGGCAGCGTGAAATTATGAAGTGCATCTTAGATGTAATTCTCTTGTAAATTCTCTGTAATTCTCTGATGACGATAACGGTAATTTTCTTGCAACTCTAGAGCTACTCGCAAAGCACAACAAGACCCTTTAGTTACATTAGAAAGAGGTTTCCTGGTATCAACATGAAGGTAAACATATTATTGTGCATTTTTTGGGTTGGAGTTCTCAAAATGAATTTATAAAAAAGTGCGAAAGATTGTCCACGGTGCCATCATTAAAGATGCGCATATAGTAATTTACTATTTTATCCTTGTCGACGGAACGCCTGGCGTCTCTTATACTGAGCAAATTGCATTTGTTCTCCGCTTTGTCTACAATGGTATTGATAAAAGACAGGTAGTTAAGGAGCGCTTTCTTAAGGTCAAAAATTTTAAACAAAAGAAAGTTGTGGATATTGCCGAGATAATTATGGATTTCTACTATCAATATGACATCAATCTGAAGAACTGTCAAGGTCAAAGGTACAACAACGGTGCCAAAATCTGTCTGGTGTGTATAAAGGAGTAAAAGCGATCATCCTTCAGAGAAATCCTGAAGCTTTCTACATACTATGCAGCGCTCATAACCTTAACCTAGCTGGTGTTCATTCCCTTGTATCTTCTCTAGAAATGAAGAACTATATAGGCCGGATTCAAATACTCTACAATCTTTTTAGTGGAAGCCTATACAATGTCAAATCTTGACCTAGACAACTGCTTTGTCTCTTCATTAAACCTCACAAACCCGATGGAGTGCACGGATTGAGACTTTGAAGCCGTTGGTTAAGCAACCTAGAGAAATTATTTTTTCTTTGCAGAAACTTCAGGTACTTGATTTAACTGCTAATCTATTGAATGACATAAAAGTTTGGAGAAATAGATTTATTCATTTGAGTTTATTATCATGACAACCTTCTGGTTTGAAGCGCACCAAGCAATTGTCAGCGTGTCATTTCAATCAGGAAACATTACTTTAGATGAAGAGATGAAGCTTATGAGGGTTCCTATTGAGGATCTTATGAATTTAGATATTCTTGGCCCAAATTAATTAATGAAGCACATTTGGTTACCTCCGGTCTAGCTAGTTATTAAGAGTGCCATCATCTGGATATTCTGAAGCACGCCAAGCTTTTCAGTCCAAAAGAATAGTTCACTTCAATGGAGCTATTAAATAGAATCTATTAAAAAGGTCTATAGTCTATCTTCGAATCAATAGACATTTTGTTACGTATTTTTAACACGATTCTCGTTTCCATTGCCGAAAGAGAGATCTTTCGGTAAGCTTGGTCTAGACAACATTAAGATCTACAATAAGTCAAGACCGGCTTACCAATTTCTGACTTATATCTATTGAAAACGATCTTGCAAAATATCTGTGCTACAACGAGGTCATTCCAAACTTTGCTTTAAATTATGCCCGTAGAGTAAAATTCTCATGAAGAAATTAAAATATCTATTACATTTAAAACTCTTCGTTACTCGCAATATAATAAAGTTCAGTAACTTGTCAACTTGTGCTTCTTTTTTACTTTTATTTCAAATTTATTTTAAAAATAAATAGAAGCCTCCTTGACTGTATTTACTCCCTCGGACTTTAAAAGTGAATTTAATTAAAAAAAAAAAAAAAAGAAGGTATTTGGACAGTACCTAAACTTTTTTGAATTACATCAATATGACAGGGCGCTAGATAAGTTTTGACCCTGGGCGTCATTAAGGGTCGCGGCGGGCCTGTATATATATATATATATATATGTATGTATATATGTATATATATATATATATGTATATGTGTATGTGTATGTGTGTATGTATATATATATGTGTATATGTATATGTGTGTATGTGTATATGTGTATATGTATATGCATGTGTGTATATGTATATATATACATATATCCTTCTTATATATATTTTTCTTGTTTCTTTTTGTTTATCTGTTTTAATTTTATTAAAAAAAAAATATGAGTAGATGAACTTAAATCTATAAAATGTTTGGAATCTTTTGTAATTCTAAATATCTTTTGTATATTTAAATATATATTATGAAGTTTATTGGATATGTATACGCATATGTACGGATTTGTAAATTATTTTTTCAAACTTTTTTATTTTTTATTATTTTCAAACTTTTTACTTTTGTCAAACTTAAAAATTATTTTTTCAACTTTTTTGATTTTTTCAATCTTTTTAATTTGTTTTTTTTTACTTTTTTTAATTTCACTCTTTTATATATTATTGGAAATTGTAAAATTTTTTTATTTTTTTTGTTTTCACGAAGGGGCTTGATGATAAGTCATTTTGTCTTCTACTTGCCCCAGTCAGCTTGCATTTGTATAAATTTATTTGAATGTAAGGTTAACATAGTAAAATGTGTCAAATGACGAAACATAAAATATTAAAAAAAATAAAAAATATATTTAAATTAAAAAGTTTTATTTCCACATTTTAGTACAAAACAAGACTATCTTTTAAGCAAACTTTTTTGCTATATTTTATAAAAAAAAAATGACTAGCTTGTATTATTTCCCAGGATTTGAACGACAGAATTTTTTATTTTGGGTTGGTTTTACAAGTTTTGCAAATTGCGTTACAACCCAGTGGGCAAGTGTCGTCCGTAGGACGTCTGCTGGACGTCTCATGGACGTCCAGACGTCCGTAAGACGTCCAACAGACGTCCCCCGGACGACGCATGCCCACTGGGAAGTGCAAAGTTGCAAAAAACAAAAGAAGATTTCGCAATATACTCGTTTTTGGCATTTATGCTGATCTCTGGCGCACTGTGCTTAGTAGCAATTTAAAAGCCTTGTAAAAAACTTTTTTGCAATATTTAGAAGTGTTTAACAGAAAAATAAATTGAAAAAACTGAATTAAAAATAAATTGAAAAAACTAAATTGAGTTAAAAGTAGTTTATAACTATTTTATAATAGTATTTCAAAAATAAACAACTACATATTGCTTTTACATGCTGCAGTACAAAAAAAACAATAGACGCAATTTTTCGTTCAGTGTAAAGTTAAAAATGAGGCCAAAGACTTCGTGATGCATTAAAATTGAAATCTTTGACAAACTTTAATTATTGAAATCAGTTATCTCGGAGGGATAAAAATGATATATTGGTGTTCCGGGCCACTCCAATAGATCTTTTTTATATATATATCCATTTTCTTCATTATATAATTGAGTTATTCGTTTTAAATACAATAAATCTGACACGTTTGTATTTGAAATTGCTTCAATTTTTGTAAATAAGTCTTTTCCGTATTTTAAAATTTTGAAAACCTTGCCATCTTTGCTTTTATATTCAGAATCTGTATTCGCCTGTTTACTAATCCACAATGAATTCGGAAATCCGAAACCCCACCAACTGTAATAAAACTGCATTTCTTCATTCACTTGTTTAAATATGTTATCTTGCTTAAATGGCGGCATCCCTTGTTTTAACTCGTAAGCTAATCTGCATATATTCGAGGAGATGTCACATACAAGGTAACTGGTGCTAGTAAGTAAATATAAATCAACTAATGTACTCTCTATTATTTCTTTTGGAAAGTTTTTCTGAAAATATGATCCTAAACCATTTAATAAGTAACTGAGCGGTAAACTTGTTATTTGAAAGTCTGGAGCATATTTTTTGGTATTGTTTATTGCTCCTAAATCGTCCGTCGCAATATAAATTTGCTTTTTAGTGAAATTGTATTCATTACAATACGCTCTTGCTATCCGTACAAATTCATTTTCATTAATATACTTAGCTTCGCCTCTAGTTAGCTTATCACCGTGTCGAATATGAAAACCAACAATTGGTAAGGTAAAGTTAATCTCTTCCTTTAAAGCAGATACCTTTTCGTTAAACTTTAAGCTTGGCCTTAATAAAAGGTAAGAAAGAAATTGTGATGTAAACCAAAGCCATGGATTTTCAATCTTTAGATAAACCAAATTTTTTCTTAATTCTTCAGGTAAAGTCCCAGGTATATGCCTCGGGTATGGTATTCTTCTAACTAAAGTGTTAAATTCAATTACTTGATAAGTATTGTTTAAATCATAGCCGTTGCTTAAATAACAAGATGGATTTTGAGCATTGCAAGTGTTTAGTTTGCCAGCAAGTACTTTTTGTTTCAAATAACCGCATTTTAATGACTCCGGTTTAACCCATTGAAATATGCCATCAAAGTGGTTGTACTCATTTTGATGGATGAAAAAGGTTCTTCCTAATCCATATGCAACTTGCATGCATACTCCGTATCGGTGCACATTAGAACCAAATCCAGAATAGTTTTCAATATTTCTACAAAGTAAAATTTTTTTTTTTTCACAATCACCTTCTTCTTGCAAGCTATGGATTTGATGTCGGATATGCTCGTGTATTTCTATTAGCGATTTAAATTTGTGTTCATAAACGTTCTCATTTATCTCTGATTTTTTAAATTGCTTTGAGTAACTCGGATTTTTTATGAAACTCAAGTTAAATTTGAAAAAATACGGAATAACTGTAACTAGTATAAATAAAATGCACAACAAAATAAAAAAATTCACTTTCATTTTTTCAAAAAAACTTTAGTATAACAACGAATACTCAATTTTTTGAAAACACTGTTTTGCATAAAGTGTTTACATACATATAAAAAGTAAGTTTATTATCAAACATAATTCCATGTTTTAACTTTTAAAAGAAACCACTCCCCTATTAGTAATGCTAATTCTAAAAGAACTTGTTTTTCTAAAAATATTATAGTATTTTTCCGAGTTGGCTTTCATACCATTATATCAAAACAAAAAGAAAAATTAAGTAAAGCATTTTGAAAATCACTCATACCTAAGCCTTTTTTTGCACTAAATGGAGTGTTGTTATCAGCCTATCCTGCAATTTTAATGATACTTAAAAAAAATGACATAGGAAGAAATTGAACATTAACAGACCGAAATAAACAGTATTAATCTTTAACTTTCTCTCTCTTTATTCTGTTACTAAGATGAGTTTGAAAAAAATTTATAGCATTCTTGCTGACACAATAAGCATTCAATTTATTACACTACTTATTGATTTATATTGTGTACAAATTGGATTTGCAAATGCATAAATGTCATACAAATACATTATATATGTGGTATACTAACTAATCCCTAATCGTAAGCTATTATTTCTTCTTTCAGATAATTGTCTACTTTGTTTTTAAAGTTGCTCAAGGGTGACGTATTTCTAACATCATCTGGGAGGGAGTTCCGTTTGTTGACGAGAAGTCAAGTAAGGTGAAAATGTTTTGACAAGGAGAAAGACGACAATAAGATTTTTCTAGTTCAAATGAATGTCCTTTTGTAATAGAACTTATAATTTTTTTTAGAATGATCGTTTGACAGTTGTAGCAGTTGTTTGACCAGTTATAGTCGTTTATTAAATCTCTACGGGCAAGTCTGTATCTTAGGGTTGTCTTATAATTTTATAAAGTCTTTGGTGATATGGAAGACCCTGTAATCCATAAACTAAAATGCTGTTCTGAGTCTATTTAGATGCTCTTCTAATTATTAAATCAATTTTTTAATAATAAATAAATTAATTATTAATTATTTTGATTATTAAGGTGGTAGACCACTATTAAAAATCAAAAAAATCGTTTTTTCAGTTTTAAAGTTTTTAAGTAATATAATTATTGTAGATTAGGAATTTCGAATTAGTTTTATATAAAATTAAAGCTAACCCTATTAAAAACCAATTTTTAATAATGCGGTTTAGGATATTTTAAAAAAATTTCCATAGCAACGGATTGTTTATTCCGTTGCTATGTAGCTAAAAAGCAAGTTATCTTTCAAAATACCATAAAAATTCATAAAAAAACTACATGTGTGGCAACTGCTACTCTGAAACTACTTTTTGTTTAATAATAAATGTTTTTGGTGCTGTATGTTACATGGTTATTAACCGATTTCTTCACTATATGTATAATCACTTAACAACAACCACATCAATCTTTGGCTTATTCTCTGTGTTCTTACCTTGGATCATACCTTGGTTAAATAATTGTTAAAATAATGGGAAATAAAGATAAAACAAATAAAATAAGGTATAGCAAAAAACATAGAATTTTCAGAGGAAACCAACTTAAAACATCAAATATTCTAGCTGAAGAAAATCTATCTAATTTACAAGGATTACAATTCAAATGTAGCTCAGCAAAAAAAATGAACATAATGTCATTGAGCTCTAGTAGTAAATCTTCTGTAGATATTGTAAATAATAATTTTGTAAATAAAAATAATTTTTCTGCTGATGGTGATCAGTACAATGACTGCTATATTTTTATGAACACTAACATTTTAGAAAAAATAATAACTACCATTGGCTGCTGTCCAAAATGTTCTGCAAATGTTACTTTTAACCATGATGCTAAACTTAAAAAAGGTTTATCACACTGTATATTTATTTCATGTGGATCTTGCCAATGGAAACAAAAATTTTATTCAAGTAAAACTATAAGCAAACTAGTAAGAACCGGTCCAAAAACTTTTGACATTAATTTAAGAATTATATTAGCTTTTCGAGAAATAGGTAAAGGATACTCTAGTATAAAAAAAATTCTGCGGTTTAATGAATATGCCTGATCCTATGAACAAATCTTCTTTTAACTCATTAAGTGAAGAAGTTGCCAACTCTTACAATTACATTGCCGAAGCTAGCATGAATGCTAAAGAAGTAAGAATAATTAATTTGAAAAAAAATTATAATGATTGTACAGTAGTTGATAAGGACATTTAAGGGGACGGAGCTTGGCAAAAGAGAGGATACTCATCACTAAATGGATTTATTACTATAATAAGCAAAACAAATGAAAAATGTATAGACTATCGCATACTTTCTAAGAAATGCAAATCTTGTGAGTAATAGAATATACACCAAGATTCACCAAAATATATGGCGTTTAAAGACAATCATGTTTGCTCGATTGATCACAAAGGATCGGCTGGATTAATGGTATTATTAGAGTTTTTGAAAAACTTTATTTAAAACCAGGACACTATTCTTCAAGTTTTTTTGCATCTTCTGATTTGAAAAGAGTTAAAAATATGAAAAAAAAAATGTAACAAAAAAACAAAAAGCAGGCGAAAGCAGTTACGGAGTATTCCTAAAGGATTTTTGGACAAAGATGAGGAAGAAAAGAGTTTATGTTATGGTGCAGGAGAATTTTAGTATATATTTACTTTTTGTTTATTTATTACAAACAGATATTTACATTAAGTTGGTAAGAGTAAAAATTGAAACTAAATTGCAAATAAAAAAATTTTTTTTTCTTTTTCAAATTGAAGTATTACTTGGATAATAGTATTGTTTTATAATACTATCAATTTTTTCAAAAAAATTTATTTTAATTTTGCTTTAGTTTTACTCCACAACACTTTTATAATAAGATAATATTTGTTTGTAGGCTTTTTTTCTGTGTATTTATCTTTATTTGAAGAATTTTATGGTTTTTTTTGTTTAAATGTGTTTTTCTCAGTTCTTTAAAATTCATGACTCTGCGGTAAATATATCTTTATTCTCTCAACAAATTTCTATGAAATTTTCAGGAGTTGTTCCTATTGTTATTACAGATGTCCCCTACCTCTTTTATTGCATTATGATAATTAGGTAAAAAGATATTTAAGTCCTAATATGGTCAAAAATGCCTCTTTTTTTTGTTTTTGAAGTGTTTTTCTTATTTAAAAAAAACTGGTCAGTGTTTTTTTTTTGTTTTGGTACAGGATCTTCTTTAATATATTATAAGCATGTCTGAAAAATTTCAAGTTGATACCATGAATAGGTTTTGAGATATTTACCGCAACGAAATGACCCTATTTTGGGGTTTCCGGGACCAAATTTCTCAAACCGGTTAAATAAAAAAAAAAAAAAAAAAGATTTGTGATTAAAATGTGAATTTTAATTAACTTATGAAAAAATAATTTGTAAAATATAATTTTTGAAGGATTTTATTTTAATAGTGGTCTACCACCTTAAATTAAGATGCTTTTCATAGCATATTTTCAACTTATCGTTTCCTATTTGAGACGAGGGTTATAAAAAGATCCAAAATATTCTAATTACGTTTGGACTTGTGCTGAAATAAGGGAAGGATCTTTGCTATTAGAAATAGAATTTGCATTAGTTTATTAACTTGTATTTAGGTATGTTTGGAGAGCACTCGAAGTGAATTTTGATGTCAGTTTCTGAGTTGCTAGTTTGATGTCAATGCTTGTTGACATCAAATATAACTCATCTAATTATATAGTGATAAGCAATGCATGCAAAACGCAATCAAAAACCTATAAGTAAGGCGTAAAAGAAATACTATAATAACCTTTTTTATCTCGGTATTTTTTCTATTTCTTACTGTTATTAAACATTGCAATATGAACATTACAAAAACGTATTTGTATTCAGATAACTTGTTTTAAAAAAAACCTATTTATATTCTCATATATACAATTCTGAATGTACACTGGTTGTTCGGTAACTTTGTTTGTCTGTTTTTCACCACTTTAAAAAATAGCTATAACATCAGCATGTTTTAATTGATCAGGTAAGTAAACGATACGGAGTCTTTCACTGGTTCATATATGTATAAAGCTGCAATTTAAAGAGTCTACATAATGCCTAATTGTATTAAGATGTCACTAAAATAAGTCTGATAAGATCATAAAATTATTTAATCTACTGGTTCATATAATCCACTGGTTCATATATGTATAAAGCTGCAATTTAAAGAGTCTACATAATGCCTAATAATATTAAGATGTCAGTAAAATAAGTCTGATAAGATCATAAAATTATTTAATAAAAATATTCCTTAAAATCGGGCTTAGTTGTTTTCCTAAATAGTTTATTATCAGGAATAAGTTTTGTTGAAAGATTTTTGTTATATTACTTTTTGTTTTATCTTAAAAGACACATTCAAAAACTCCTTTAAAAATTATATAGAAATTTAAGAAGCATAAGATTTTTGCACTCGGAAGCGACTTAAAAGCCTTGAATTAAACTTAATTAAAAAGTTTAGAAAAGTTTAACAGAAAGAAAAAACTAAAAAGAAATCGACTCAAACGAATTAAATATATTTTAAAAAAAACTAAACTCAGTATTAAGTTATTTTTAACTATTAAAATATGGTTTAACAAAAACAAAATTGTACAACTATATATTGTTTTACGTGTTACAAAATTCTTAAAATCATGCATGAAATCTTTTGTTCATACCACAATAGTAAGTCGTAAAAAACTTTACTAAAGTCGGACGGCGCTTCTGAAGTATGTAAAAAATAAACTCGGTAAACTCAATGAACTCGCTAAACTTTTTTCAATAAATTTTATAAAATTAGTCAAATTTTTTCAATAAAAATAATTTGAGAAGGAAATAGAATATCACCTTGCAAACGTTTATATTAAGTTTTGATATTAAATTAAACAAATATATTAATAAAAATAATGATAATAATAATTGTTTTGAGCACTTATTAACTCCGTTAATGTTTAGCCTTATTATTATTCTTAATGAACGTCATAATATCTTAAATAATTACTTCGTATTTCATTTACACTTTTTAATGTATACGTTAAGGTGTTTATAATATACAATAAGACGAATTTCTGAATAATTATGTTTTAACAATAGACTGTGTTTAAACTACAGAAGTGTCCTGATGAACATGGTTTAAATGAACAACAAGATTAAAAAATAGAACAAGAAAAAATAGAACAAAAAAAGTAATCATTATCACCTCTGTGTTTAAGTTATATTGACTACTAATTTGTAGTCTATTGCAAAACATTTTTAGAATTTTTAGTAATGTTTACAAAAAATTTATAAATT